CCCTACTTCATGTGCAACCTATCCTCTTAAGGAGTAAATCTATTTTTTAGTCTAAATTTCATCTGCATTTCATTTTACAGCTACTATTAGTTTATTAAATAAAAGTCCACTATTGTCCTACCCATTTCCCATTGTTTCTGACATACCTTGATTTCTTTGGTTGAACTACAGTTTCATTTAAACTATTTTACTGACTATTGGAAATTCATTTGATAAAACATTAAAGTATATTTATAACTCCTATCTCATTACTCTGCAATGTGTAACAAACTGTGAGTGTCTCTTAGAATATAATGTGAGCAAAGTGTATATGTCAGCTTAAAATTTATAAGCAGCTATTAATTCTATGTTGTTGAAGCATTATTTATGAATATGTTGCCTTGCATTTCATGGTTTTGTCACTCAAAATAAACATATATAGTTATATATGTAAAATAGGCTGCTTGACTTTTGTGTCTGACCCTGGGGTTATGTTCAGGCTGTTTAAAATGCCACTAGCTCTCATCTGTGAGTTGGAACCTTTGTCTAAGACTAATTAGAAAACTAAATTATAAAGTTGTTAGCAAGACATCATGTAGCTGAATTGGATGGCCATTTTATGGAACACAGTTAAAGTAAATACATTTTCATGTGTCTTTTTAAGTGATTCTTTCCCTGCAACCGGTTCTGTGTTGCTTAAACTACCCCCAGCTACTGAGAGCAGTTTTTAATGAGTAAATATACTTGTATATTGTAGGCTCAGATTTGTCATTTGAGACCAAAAAATTTGGGAGAGATATTAAATCTTGCTGATTATGCCATTACTCCAGGCATGGATAACAGCTTTTAAAAGCTGCAGTAAACTAATCTGAAAAGTGTTATAAATATATTTACTGTTCAGTAAGATGGCCAACACTTGCTCTTTGCACCAAAGAAATGAGAATGTACCTAATATGTAGGGGTTACTGTAACTGGTTATTAATTTTTTCCATGCTTGCATTGCTTTTGTTCTGTAGGAAGTGTAGCACAGTACCAGCTAAGGGTAAGGGGAATGGAGCAATCGTGAATGCAACACATAAAGTGTCTGTTAAAAGTATTTTTGAGTATTACACAAATATGCAACCACACACTATCAAAACATGTATTGCAACACTGTGAAATTTTGTTTGTGTGAACTTTGCTTGGTAAACTGCTTCCTTTATTACGTTATTTTCATTTTATCTTGGTAACAGAAGACAAATATGTTTGGTACCTCGTTGAGTAGATTATCATGACATCTTTGGAAGGCTGGAATAATTACTTCAATTTTGTGGGAGTTACTGCTTTGGAAAAAATAACGGTTGAGGAGTCATAAATCTGACACTGAAACAGTCTGGCTGAAATAATCTCCAAAATCTATAAAAAAATAATTTTCACAACTGCATAAACTGTGCTTGAAGGTTGTAATTTTGCATATAGATTACTCAAAATGAAATATTGACCTTACTATGCATACAAACACGGTATTGCCACTCTCTCTACATGTATTCCATTCCCAAGACATATTTTTAGCATCACTCCCCATAATTTAAGATTTATTTTGCTATTATATAACGCCTTGGTGCGTCATGTATTATTGTGGTGGTGTGATGGTTCATTAATTATCTGGCTTACAACCTCCAGATTTTTTCTAATTTGTTATAGTAGAAACTATTAATAAAATTGTCTGCACTGTGTCAGTGTGCCACATGTAATCTTCAGAATTTTGGTCTTTACTACCCTGAAATAATTTTTTCACTTTGCAATGTATTTTTTCATTGTTGCGGTTTTTCCCTTTAATTTTTTTCACTTTTACGCACTGAAATGTTCCTTTATGAAAAGCAGGTGGCATTACAATCAATAACCTTGTTAATCTCTTTGTGGTGAGCTGAGCTGTGGCGTTATATAATACCAAAACTTTTTAAATCGTGTACATCATATGTGAATAGAGAAGTGCATATTTAGAACTTTCTTCAAAATACCAAGGTGTCGCTTTTGGTTTTTAATTTAGTCTAATACATGTGCATATTGTTGAGCTGTTCCATTTGAGTTTTAGAGGTTTCTTTCCCAGTTTTTTACAGTAGTTTGCCATTGGCCTAAATGTTCTGTGGTGTTTTAACTGTTTCTGTCGTGAATTTCACAATTGCTGTTATGGTGGGAGCTAACTTGCAATTCTCCAGAAGAAAGTCCTTCTCTTGGCCAGTTACACTATTCAAGGTTTTTTATTAAATGACCCTGGGCAGCCAACAGGAGCTATCCAGAAGCAGTTAGGCTCTTCCTGCAGCCCACCCTAGAAGCTGCAGATCTGCAGGGCAGCCTTTGAGCAGAGCTCTGTGGAACACTCCCTGTGGTTCTCAGAGACACATTCCAGCTACCCCTGACAGATGTTATCAATACACAGCACACTATGAAGTCCCCAGCCTCCCCAGCTAGATTCCCCTACTTCACCAACCATGCATTTCCTTCAAATGAAATTTAGGGGTACTGGAGAATCTTAAGGTAACTTGAAAAACCAAAAAGGTTGAATATTGTGTTTTCTACCTAGAGGAGCACAGTGTAGGCAGGGTTTCCCCAAACAAAACAGACTGCTCATTATGCCTGTCATAAAGGTCAGGATTTTGACTATTTGCAGCATCCACCTACTCTCATAAGAAGGAAGAGGAGTATCCATTTCTATATCATCGTGCTGGCACACACAGTTTTCAGATATTTGTAGATATCTCAAATTTGAGATTTCATTTGAGAATGAAAAGGAAATCCAGGAAGAACTGGCAAGTGGGTGTTAGAGGACTGGTCCACACTACTTCCCCATGGTGAAATGAAGCATCTTCATGATCTGAGAGAGCAACTTTATGACCTTATCCCAGATGTTGGCTAAGTTGATTTAATAAGCCTGTTTAACCAACTCAGAATTTTGGCCTTCCAGACACATCAAAATAAAGAAATGCATGCTGTGATGCTTGCTGACTTGGAAATTCAAACAACTTTCTTAATTGGCACAGTCAAGTAGGACTTCAAAACAGTTAACTGTCATACAGAGTATTTTACTAAGGATTTTGATTTCCTTGCAGAAGAAATATTAAAAGGAAATTACTTCAGACTAATGTATTTTTTAGTGGGAAGAAATTAATAGCTTGATATTTGGTTTTCTTCTTTCTCTGGTTCCTTTTAAATCTCCCTCTCCATTTATCAGTTTGCTTTCTCCTCGCAGAGAGAGCTATGGTTCAAAATACACATTGTTGGCTGGGAAGATCATCCAGTTGGAATGAAGTTCCTCTTGACTTTATGCTAATGAATTTATCATTGATTATTTTAATGTGCCATTTTCTTAAGATTCAAGTGGTTAAATCAGCTCATTGTACTAAGAAACCTAAAGCTAGAAAGTATTTTAAATAGCAACCACTTAACAGAAGAATTCTGTGGTTAATAATTCTGAAATACATTTCTCTATGTATTGGAAAGATGAGTCCCTATAGAGTCCCTTCTATCACCTGTGAACATAAGTAGTTAGATATTTCGTACTTAAATTTGGTGTTGTATTTTATTAGCAGAATTTAATCAGAACTTAAGTAAAAAACATGGTAGCATCAGAACTTAAGTAAAAAAGAAATCAGGTTGTAATAATGGATAATAAAGAGAACTGTCATGTCAGGCACTCCAAATTCAGTGTCTGATAATTGAAGCAGCTTCTACTTGCATTTAGTACTCATACAACACATCTTTTTGCCTCTCCTCAGAGTCTTGCCTGTGTTAGGATTGCTTTTAGGACTTCCTTAAAGGCTTCGTTTTTCCCAAATGAAAGGTCATAGAGCAGATATTCTCAGTGCTTAGGCTTTGTGCATCTGTCACCATCTGACTGCACAGAAAAAATCTCTAATATTCCTAGGGTATATCATGTCAGCATTTGTACAAACTATGTGGGTCTGGAAACTTACACTTTCTCCCATGTTAACTGCTCAGATGTTTTTGATAGTTATGGTGCCTTTGTAACTCTTTGTCCTAAGGAAACTTGCTGACTCTAATCTGTAAATCTGTAGCAGTTCAGTCCAACAATAAGTAATAATCTCTTCCACAAAAGAACAACAAAAAAAAGAAACCTCAACTACTTTTTGTAGCAAGATTAAGGAAGTAGAAACTCATATAATCATGATTGTTTCCTATAAAGTGTCTTTAAAATCACAGAAATATATCAGACTTCCCCCATACTTTTCTCATCACCTAAGGGAAAACATTAGTGATCTCTGCAGTCTGACCAGCCAAGGGACAGCAGTTGATCTAGAAGATAAATCTGGTTTGCTGGTCTTCTAGGGTTTTTTGTTAAAACATATAACCTGGGCAATAGCTTAAAAGATCTCTTTATGCTCTCTAAAGGGAAGATTAAAAGTAGGTTTGTATGTAGAATAATAAATCCTAAAATTTGTCATTATGGATGAGAATACAGTAATGAAATTACTGAATACAATTGGAGTTTACTGATGGCTTTTGATGTGTTTTGTAAGCATACAAGTTCCAGCGTAGCTTTCCCTTTTTCTTAATGTGAAGTCAGTGTCTTTATAAGTACAGAGGCAAATCTGTCTCAAGATAAGTCATGCATTGGTCCTGATGACTGCTCTGTCAGAAGGTTAGATCGCTGCAGAGGAAAGGACAGATTACAACCAGATGAAAATGTTAGGAGTCATAGTTGAAATATAATTTATAACAGCAAATTGTTATGCATTTACCTATAAAACAGCAATATGCTACTTACTCATCAGGGATTTTTACTCCTTACTTACAAAGCTGAAAATACTTTTAACACTTCTTACTGCAATACGGTCATTTGGTTACTGCCCATTTTTGGAGACCATGGGATATTCGTCTGATATTACCTTCTCTTGCTCATTTCATCAGTTCCTTTCTAATAAGTATCAATTCTGAGACCTCTCCTGAATGTTAGATGTGTCCCTTTTCCACCTGTGTTCCCTGGATTTGCTTTTGCAAAACAAAGGAGTTTTGTCTTTCAGAGCGGGAAGTTCACAGGAGGTGAATCAGGAGGTGTCATTGATCTTACACTTGATGAAGAGGATGACAGCTGCTCTCAAGGTAGGTGAAAAATATTTTTCTAGCTGCAGGGATAATTGAGCTACAAGTGTTATTTCAATCTGTGAATGGCAGGAAGGAAAAAGCTTCTGTTTCTGCTTAGTGTATTTTTGTTTTGGTGTTTCAGTTAGATAGGACTCTTGTTTAAAAAATTACGTTAGGTGTTAAAGAAAAGGAATTTTGCTTACAATCCTAAATATTTTTACTACTCTGTAGCAATACTATATAGCATTAGTGCTATCTGTGCTTAAGTAACTCAGCCTTGGGGAGTAATCTGAGATGCTTGTGTTCTTGATGATCTTTTCAAAAGCTCTTACAGATGTATTTACTTTTTCTGTTTACTGATTATAATTAAAGGCTTTTTAATACTACAGTTGATATTTAGGCATTAGAGTATTACAGCTTCTAATCTTTTGTTTAGCTAATACTTTGTGTGCAAGAGTTTAAAGACCAAATGCAAACTGTTGTTTGCTTTAGGACTATATGCCAAGAGCAGAGTAAATATAGTCCTGCTCTTACGTACTTTGGCAGTCTGGATGCACTTCATCATTTAAAAGAGCACATTTCTTTTTATATAAATCTTGTGTAAATGTAGGCCAGTCTAATTATAGTTAGCATTGGATTAGTGAAGAATGATAGTACTTCACAGAAGTAATGAGTCTCTACTTAAGACCATGTATTGTGCTGTCATTCCCATTGGGAAAAAAAAAAATCATATTCCTACTATTTGAGGTAAAATTTTCATTCTGTCTGGTCTCTAAATGCCTGTCCCTGTGCTGCATTCTGAAGTCCAGCCACCAGGAAGTTTATTTCATCTGGACAGCCTTGATAGTTATTTCTCTTGCTTGTGCATTCAAGTTCTACACAAACATTCTTAATAGTTTGACTTGCTTTGCATTTTTCTTACACAAATGTAGAAAATAATTTTGGCATGTGGCAGCATTTCTTTCAGTGAGAAAGAAATCATAGAGTTATAGAATGGTTTGGGTTGGAAAGGATCTTTAAGGTGATCTCATTCCAATTCCCCTGCCATGGGCAGGGACACTTCCCACTAGACCGTGTTGCTCAAAGCCCCATCCAGCCTGGCCTTGAACAATTCCATGTGATGTTATCACTGAAAAGGGAGGTGTGAGGTATACTAGTGTTAGGGAAGCATGATGCAATTCAGATAGCTGACTGTCTGCTTTTCTTATCAGTAGAGGATATGTGGTACGTAGTGAATTGAGTATGAGCCAACAGTGTGTTCTCATTTCAATTTAAGCATTCCCCCAAACTGGCACTGGTGGAACCACAGCTGAAATAGGTTGTCTAGTTTTGGCTCCCTTTTCTTCAAGCTCAGAAGAATTGTGGTAGCACTGGAGAGGCCCCCACTGATGGGATCAGGATGGTGAAGGCCAGACAAGATCAGACCAGCGTATGTTTGGCAAAGAGCTAAGCAAGAGACATTGTAAGGGCAGACTACAGCTCCTTGGAGGATAGTTACAAAAATGACAGAGCACAACCATCTTCAGCAGTCCCAACTGATACATTAAGGGGCTGTGGCCATGAACTACAAGAAGTTCAAGTTCAGCTTGAGGAGGAAAGAAGTCAGCATAGTGCTGCACAGAGGGATGGTAGAAACTGTCATCTTGAATGTTTTTGAGATTTAGTAGGGCAAAACCACAGATCATTTGAATATGTTGCTATTGACAGTCCAGCTTCAACAAGAAACTGGACAACGAGAGGTCCTTTTCAGCCAAGATTTTGACTTGACAACCTGAGTGGCAGAATAGCTGAGGCAGTCAAGTTTTTATCACTGTCAATCTCTTCTGAGGGTTAGTTCTCAAAGAGATAAAAAGGTGGTTGCCTTGGGACTGTGCAAGCCTGTCAGGCAAGGTTAACCTCCCCAGTCCTATTTAATATTTTGTAAAAGACACCCAGCAAATAGATTAAAATGGATTTGTGGTATATTTTAAAGTAGCATGTCACAGTATTGTAATCTATTTCAACTAATATATTTCTATCTTAAAATTTTCTGAAAATAACATTTTCCAAAGACCTTTTTTCTTCCTAATTGCATTGTGTAGATGCTCACCTCACAAATGCCATAAAAGATCAATACCACAGTTGCATGTACAATTGTAAGAATGCTTCAGTAGGTAGAGGTACTACAGATTCATAGCTGTATTGCAGCTTAATTCTTCCTTAGTTTCTTTGTTGGGGCTTGAGCCAGTATCTTAAAAAATTATGCTGTGGCATATTCTGAGATTCTTTCCTCTTAGTTGTCAGGTCTCAGAATACTGTCCTTCCGTTAGGAGGAAGGTTACTGCAATACTTTTGTGCTGGGTTAGCTCCCATGTGTCTCTTCCCTGCAAAGCAGAAACCAATGCAGATTAGTTCATGTTTAGAATTGTGTGAGAAGTCAGTGCTTTTTTTCTATACACTGTAGAAACATAGGAAACCGTAATAAAAGCTTGAGTTTCACCATGCAGCGGAAACACAGCACTAGGATTTTGGAGCAAGTTTCTCAGGAATGTGTTCTGATAAAAACTTCAAGGTTAAACGGAGGAAGAGTACACTTGTAACAGCTTTTGCATGATCATAAACATCTATATACCTTCGGCCAAATATTTTTTCCGCTGTACTTCGTTTACAGCAAATGTGGAGCAGGTTTTATTTTCTCATAGATTTACACAACCTCAGGATAGAAAATACTTTCATCATTATGATGTTTCCTGCAGGAATATTAGCTCAATACTAATTCAAGTTGAAGATCAACACTTACACAATGTTGTTGGGAACACTCCTGTTTATGTTCTTTAAAGCATTGTCACCCACATAAAAAGTAAACCTAATTCTCCTACTTGTAGCAGGTATTTAAATGGATCTTAATACCTGCTAATATGTAATAACACCTTCTGATCTGTGCAAAAATTATGAATGAAAAGGGTATATAATTTTTGAGAAACCATGTTGAGTAATCTAGATACTTTTCTGTCTGCAAGTATCTTGAAATACTTGCACTTTGGACTTTGCTGGCCTTTTTATAAAAGGATCATCAAATTATTTTGTATGAATATTGAAACAATAGATTTAGTCTAAAGCGGGTCTGTAGTCAAAGAAAGATATGTAAATGTACTCTTAAATTAAAAAATATATGTTCTGCTTTTAAATTATTTTTTATGAAAAATCATTAAATACATAATCAGTTTTTTTATTTTAGAAGATGTTTTATCTGCTTAACAAATCTGTAGTTCTCTGTATAATTTTTTCTTACTCTTGAACATGCCTGTGGCATGTTTAGTGTTCTGTAATCACCTATACCAGTTCTGAAGTAGAACACTGTTGAAACTCCTTTGTGCTATAACTGCAGTGTGATAGACTGCTTCTGGCATGGAAATGAGTCCCTCTTCTGTTTTGTGTATTAGAGTAGGAGTTTTGCTTACTTTCCAGTAGTAACAATTTCCATTTTATGCATATTTCCATAAATCACACTTTCCTGTCTCTTCTGGGTCCACATTTGTTGTGAATATGATGCTGTGTTCATTTAGTATTGGAAACTGTTCCATAATGACTCCTAAACTTACTCCTGTGCTTACTATGTACCCAGTCTTCCTTGCTTTTTTTTTTACTTAAATAGCTTTTGTGGCTTGTTTCCATTCATTTAATGAAGTCTAGTTAGTTGTCTGTCATCATTTCCTGTGGGTGGTGCAATGCTGACCTAGTTTCCAGTCACTGGAATGTCAGCAAAGCTCTTCTTGATTTGTTAAGGGTAAATGACCTTGCTCTGTGTGAAATTAAAAACAAAAGCAAAACTGGGAAAGCTCTCACATTTGTTCAGACTGTCATATTTCCGTGAACCACATTTACAGAAGTAGGATGTAAAGGTTTTTGCTTGTTGGATTGTAAGTGCATCTTCTAAGTCATGACTAAGAATGCACTGACATCATTGAAATTATTCAGTGATAGTTGAGATGTGCATCAGTCTCTAAATATTTGAAGTAAACAGATGTATACATCTCTGTAAGAATCTCCAAATTTGCAGTCGTTTGTTGAACACTGGGAAATCTCTCATAATCGTGGACAATAAAAATCACAAGGCCTATTAGTTGATCAAAGAGCAGGAAGGAACTCACCTTTTGTTTTCAAAATAAGCATCCCTTCACTGCTCTTTTTATGGACTTTGGGGGAAAACAAACCAAACAAAACACAGCATATGTTCATCCAGTGGCTTCAGTGAAGTAGCTTGGCTGTTGAGTTTACAGAAAGACAGCCTGGGCTGCAATTCATAATGTGTTTTATTCTTGAGGTCTCGAATTTGGGATATGGTCTGGGGGTGATTATGCTGGTGCTGAGTTGATAGTTGGACTAGATGATCTTTAAGCTCTCTTCCAACCTTAATGATTCTGTGATTCTGTAACTGTGTCTCAGAATCATACAGCAGTTTGTGAAGGGTACTGCTACTTCAAGCTGTTAGCAGCTAGTGTTAAACACAGCTCAGTGAGACCATCAAAATAGTCTCAAACTGCTAAAAACCCCAACACTTTGAGCTATGCTGGCATTAACCCTGTTCTTAATGCTCCGAAATCCAGTTGGTATACTTAATTGAAAATTTTAAAAGCAGTCCTCACTATATTGGTACGTTTTCTCAAGAGTAAAATGAGTATTTACATATTTGTATCTTTATATTTTATGCTTTTTTACTAAATTAGTGGCTGATGTATGTACAGTTTAATTATGGTGTCAGTCTTTAAAATCTATTCATTTATCTTGTGTTTTTTAGTTCTTCAGGAGTGCTTCCTCTGTTCATTACTGCTTTAATGTCCAGATGAAAGCTTCTCAATTTTTCTTTATTCAATTTGTGTAAAGTCTTGATTAGATACAGACTTGCACTCTAATGAATATTTTATGTAGTTACAAATAAACTAAAGCAGGAAAGAGTATTGCTTTGTAAACTACTGATACAGGCAATATTTGTCAGTATCGCAAGTCATTAAGTCATGTTGAGGAGGGTGCCAATGTGATAAAAAAATTTTCTTTTTAGAGGTTTCTATAAATAATAGAACTATTTCCCTCTTTTAAAGTAAATACTGTGAAAATTCAAAATAGCAGCAAGAGGACTGACTGACAGATTGAAAGGAAAGAGTCGGCAAATAAAAATATGTAAACATCAAAGGTGGACAAGACTTACTTAGGGAAGAAAATTTGAGTACTGCAGTGCTCAGGCCTTTAAAGGTTTTAAGATTTATTTTTTTAATAACTTCTAAAGACTTTGGCACAGTGTTCCCTGGAATTCAGGCTTCCCAATTGCTCTGAAACATGCAGACTTCATGATAATAGAATAAAACATTGTGGAGAGTGTCTGGGCAGGGGAAATTGCAGTGATGAAAGTGAGGAGAATTAAATAAGTTTTCTGTAGATATGTTTGCATAAGCAAAAAAGTTCAGAGAAATGTCATGGTTCTAATATCCTCACCAGTTTGTAAATGGGAGAGGGAGGAAAGGATTGTAAAATTCTGTGATGCTTGGATCTGTGATTCAGAAATGAAAATTTGTTTGCTATTGTCTATATCTTTTGTTCGTTTTAAAGCAGATGGCAAGAAGCAGAAGCAGAACCAGAGCCAGGCACCTCTGACAGGACTGAGCATACCCACCCAGCCCTTGACTCGACCCCTGCAGCCTTTGCCACCTTTGCAGCCAAGCCCTGTGCAGCAGCCAGGTGTGCCAACAAGTGGCCCTTCCCAGACCACCATCCATGTATTACCCTCAGGTAATACGACATCACTGTGTGAGTGCAATAGCTGGTTTTTTTTTTCTTGAATTAGACTGCTGGGTGCTCTGCATTTTGCTAATCTTTTAAAGCAAATATTCAAAATGTTTGAGTCACTTAATAATCTTTTATTCTAGTCAGTTTCCCATAACATTTTTTCTTTTAAACTGATAAAGGGGAAAGAGTACTATTGATTTGGAAAGAAGTCAGGATCAATTTAATTGCATGGAGAGGAAGAAATCCTGCTAAGGAGAGTCATGGAAATTATTAAATATACTACTGTTGGTAAAAGTGAAGGAGAAGAAACCTGTACCTTCTTTAAGTAATGGGGGAAAAAACATTATCAGCATCACTCATACGTCTGTCCCTTGGAAGTGAATTCTTTTGGTAGAGGGAATGGCAAGGCTGACATTGAAGTTCTAGCCCTAGTTAAATATTACTTTGTAATGTGATTATGTTTTCCCTTTTCTAAAGAAACGTAGGTCCTCTTTTTTTTTCTTTCTTCTATTCTTTATCTGTATATGATTGCTGAAGATCAGTTGGCATTGCAATTGTCATATGACTGCTGTGTTCTGCAGACTCTTTGATGGATTTTATATTCTTCTGTTTTTACACACAAGACCTTTGCAGGGAGTTGGGGAGATATTATATTTATCTTTTCTGTTAGGAAGCTGTATATATATTGACTTGAATATTTCAGGTGAAAATACTGTTTAGGCTGTTTTCACTTTTCTTGCAGTACGCAAAGCAGACAAACAGTTTTTATTTTACATGGCTCAGATGAGTCAGTTTTCCAGAGGAGATGTGTACTCTGGAATAGGCATATGGCTTTGAGTAATGGAATTCAGGTTTAGGGTGTGTCTTTTTTTTTCAGCTTCGACAACAGTGAATGTAACTCGGCCTGTGGCTCCAGCTAACCCCAAGCTTCCTATCCCAAGAACCCCTGCTAACCATCAGGTGGTCTATACCACTATTCCTGCACCACCACCTCAGAATCCTGTAAGAGGAGCTGTCATGACCAGCCCAGGCTTAAGGCCAGTCACCCCACAGACTGGAGGTAAGGGATGATTCCTTCCATTCTTACCAGGACACAGCTTGGTATATTCTACCCGATAGATGTGGCATTTAGGTTTTTGATTTGAGTGTGTTGTTTGGTCTTTTTGCAATACTGGCTCTAGTTAGACAGTTCAGGGTTTTTTTCCGAGTTTATAGAATTGAGAAAATTCTTAGGCTACTAAGAAATTCTACTTGCAGCTATGTGAGTGAGGAAAAATTGTATTTAAGTAATCCCAGGCACTAGCTCTGCCAATTAAGCATCTGTGGTTGACATGCCCCATACTTTACAAGGCAGTGGAAGGTAACATAACAAGCGCCACTGTTCTGAGAAAGATAAAGACCATTTTTTTATTGTGGTGGAAGTTTAAAACATGTAGAAAATCATGTTTGATTTCCTGTCTAAAAGTTAGATTTCTATCAGGCATCCTAATGGAATTCCTTAACAATCTCTGATGTCCTGTGCTCAGCAAATTTCTTTCCTTTCTCAAGGCCTCAAGAGATGAAATTTCTCACCGGATGTATCAGAAATTGATAACATGCTTGAGTTTCCTTGAGATGTTGGCAAGTTCCCCTTGACTTTGCAAATGCATAACTGATACCTACTCCTAGCAGTAAACTAATTTTCTAAAATTAATAATATATGTCAAAAATAAAGAACATAAATGATATTTTGTTACAAAGTGGTGGATGTTAACTGTTTTTTTTGCTCCCCACAATTTCTACACTATGGTTATTTTAACACCTTTATGTTTAACATAAATTCCTCTGTTTTATGAAAATGCACCTACTTTAGTGATGTCCTGGTAGTGACGCTGCTACTGATGTATATTGATTTATATTATCATTGCAACAGCCTTTAGTGCCAGTAGCAGATGCTTCTTGACTAAGATCATTGCACTTTGTCTTTGAAAAACTGACTGAGAACCCATCAAAAGTGTTTTGCAAATTGCAGTTTTGTATTTCAGCCTCAAGTGAGTAGTATCCCTACCTAGAAGTGATGCTTTGTTTGTATCTTATTAAGGCATTTCTGACCATCTTCAGTGGGTGTAATTTCCTGAGACAGAATTACACTCATACTAAACCAGAATATTTTACCAGGTTCTCATAGAGGAGAAACAGCCAGCTCAGGTGACTGTTTCTCTCACAGGAGTTTGCAGAGTTTCATCAGCTTCTTAGAGAGATTATAATAAGGAAAATATATAAAGCACCTACCCTGTGTTTAGCACTTTATAATTAAAGCATTAAAATCTAGCACTCTGAGCTCCCTGCCTCAGACTCACAGATTACATACTTCTGACACTCATCCCCTATGGATTGTAGCTTGATGTGTGTTTATCAAGAGAAGAAATTGCTCTACAATAGCTGTGGTTTCCTGGTAATGTGTTGCTCTGTGAGCTTGTCTTCTGGGGTATTACAATACTTAGTCTTAACACAAGTGTAAAACTAGGGTATCATAGAGATTGCCTCAGATCTTGTATTTCTGGCCAGAAATGGAGGGATAACCCAGGCAATCCATAACAATGAGCAAAAGCTTTGAGTTCACAGAACATAAATGTTCCAACAGTGAATAGATAAAGTGTTACTTAAGAGAATTAGATGTGGTATGAAATGAATAAAAACTTGGTAGCGTGCAAGAGTTTTGGATATTATTTGCAAGGCTATAAAACTGTCTAGTTTATTCCTGCCAGGCAGGTCAGTTTGCTGTGGGAATGACTGAAATGGTGATGCCTGTGAGTAGTGTCCATCATGAGTCTGTTCTGGGAGAGAGGACAAGCTTCTTGGGCAGTAACGTAGCTTTTTTGTTTTCAGTGCCATCCACAGCACATCCTTCTGAGTGGGTAACATTGTGCTGCAGCAACATTTCTCTTTTCCTTTCTGAATCCCAAAATGATGTAATTGTTCTTTTCATACTTAAGCTCCCCGTATCTCCCACATTTCTTCTCCTCACCTATTTCTTTCATGCTACAAAGTGCTAAAACAATGTTCTGTCCTTTCTGTGAATACAAGCACTTGCTCTTTCTCACTTTTACAGTTTCAGGGGATGGGAGGTAATTTTGTTACACAGTGCTTCATCAGTCAGCTTGAGGAGTCTGTCTGAAATTTGGCTTCATGCAGCTGAACCAAGGAGCTGGTCTTCCGGTGTTCTGTTTAGCTGCCTCTAAGTATTGAATACTCACAGTGTTCCTTGTGCTCCTTGCAGGTGTGACCGTGCGAATGCCGCAGACAACCTACGTGGTGAACAACGGGCTGACTCTGGGCTCTGGAGCTCCTCAGCTCACAGTGCACCATCGACCGCCGCCGCAAGTGCACACTGTGAGTGGGGCTTTCCAATCACCTGGTGCAATGCAGAGCTTTGTCTCTGCACTGGGACTCTCAGGCTGCTCTTAGTGTGAGCTGCAGAACAAGGTGAAATGCCTTGTCGACACTTCACAGCCAGTTTTGTGCATGGCACCACTCAGTCACCTACAGCAAACTCCTGCCCAGAATGATAAAATATGTACAATCTGTTAGCTTACCCTGGCCTTCTCCAAATTACCAAGAGAACATACTGAAAATTATTGCATGAGTTGTCTGCAGGAGACTCGTGGAGTCAAGGGTACAGAAGAGCTGCCAGTAAAATGTTTTGTCATGGTTTGGCTATGAATTGCATGACCAGTTTTTAGTACAGCTGTTTGCAAAACCCAGGAGAACAAGGTACAGAGCAAATCTCCAAGGTTGCAAACTCCCCAACCCCAGAGGTTTTTAGTCAGCATTGAGGGTGATTACTTCTGCATCACCTAAAAGCCCTTTTAGTTAGAATTTGAGAATTTTCTCTGACTCTGATTTAATTGCATTTCAAATATGTTGCCTGTACACTCACTGTTGGGCAGTCAGATTGCTTATGGTGTCCTGAAATGGTAACTATATTGTCAAGAAGGTGGCTTACCATCCTTTCAGTCTAGACACAATCAACTCAATGCACTCTTCAGTGATAAAAAATGAGAATGAAGCAAACATCACACAGAACACTTAAGATGCCAAAAACTACCTCAGATTCCAACCTGAAAGATCTCAGGCTTGAATCACTGTAACCACATTCCTAAACTCATCTTAACCAATATAAATTAGAGACCTAAGACTGTTTTTGCAGTATAAAAAAGTATCACTGGAAAGGCACATTTGTACCCTTATTTCAGAAATTTCAGGAAAGTGAGGCCTAGCTTTTGTGATCAGTTTAAGGTGATAGAATCTATGTGGCATCATTACCCTGTCTTACTTTTGTGACTGAGTACCTGTCTGTAGAAAAGATGAATTGTCAGCTTAATGGCCTGCCTGGGGTGTCAGGTAACATGGGAACAGCAGCTCAAACGTAGATGGTTTCAAAGTCATTGTGAACCTGCTTGCACAGTCCTGGTAAAGGGCACAGTGTCGAGTTCATCCCCTCCTGGCTGGGAAGCAAAGAAGATACAGGGAAGGAAATTACTGTGGCAATGATCATTTGCACAACTAGGGATTTATGTAAGAATAACGTTAAGAATTTATGGCATCCTTGTTCCCATCCTTTCCCATTGTTTGTAGCTGCTGCCTTGCCTCTGCAGGGGACAGGGACCTTGAGTTGTGATGGCTGGGTGATTGCAGGCTCATCTGCTTCCAGTTACCTGGGGAACGATGAATTAAAGCCTCCTTCCATTGCTGTAGATTCTGACCTTTCCCTTATTGTTCTTATGCTGCTTAGGAGCCACCACGCCCCATACATCCTGCCCCACTTCCAGAGGCACCACAGCCACCACGTCTGCCCCCTGAAGCTGCCAACACTTCTCCACCTCAAAAGCCACAGCTGAAGCTGGCCCGGGTACAGAGCCAAAATGGGATTGTGCTGTCGTGGAGCGTGATGGAGGTGGACCGGAGCTGTGCCACTGTGGACAGTTACCACCTGTATGCCTACCACGAGGACCCCAGTGCCACCATGCCCTCGCAGTGGAAGAAGATCGGGGAGGTGAAGGCGCTGCCGCTGCCCATGGCATGCACTCTGACACAGTTTGTGTCTGGCAGCAAATACTACTTTGCAGTCCGGGCTAAGGATGTCTATGGACGTTTTGGACCCTTCTGTGACCCGCAGTCCACAGATGTGATCTCTTCCCAGAGCAGTTAAACTAGAGATCTCTGGACCCTTTAAACCTGTCCTGCTATCAAAAATTGCCCCAGTTGTGGGAGGAGTTGATCCCATGCATGTAATTCACCTTTAAATCCATTCTGCAGGATTATTTTAGACAGTTGTGTGATACACACTACACGCACTCAGATCCAAAAGAAAAATAAAGTCTGACCTGCAGCAAGAGAGCCTGTTTTTTCTAAATAGTTCATGTCATTGGCCATTTGAAAATTTTGTTTTTTCCTTCCATGTCGGGTGTTTCACCTAGATCCATACTATCCTTTATCCAAGAGCACCCTGAATGCCTGGGATTCTGCTTCAGAGTGGAAACAAAATAGTAAATTGCAGTTTGTCTGAAGTAAAACATATACATACGTAATGTCTATTGAGACACCAACACAAGGGCATAAACAATCTGCCTTTCCCCGCCCTCCCCCAGCATTCTGTAAGCAGACTGTGGCATGAAGGGTGATTCAAACCCTCACTTTTTGTACTGGAGGCTTGAGTGGTCTGGTCTTACCTTACAAACTGTAATAAGCTATCTGAGGGGAGGGAAGGGAACTTGAGTCTGGCCAGGAACCTGTGTAAATTTGGAGGTGGTGGAAAAAAAATAATAAATCACCCCACAACCTCCTACCTCTTCCAAGTAAAAATGCTCCTCTATTTTCACTATCCTTCTCTACTCATCCTGGGAGCTTTCCCAGACCTGAAACTGGATTGTAAAGACTCCATTCACACCTCTATAGTTCTGACAATTTTTCTGTTTCTTCCCTCATACATCCAACCCTATTTTTTAGATTTATTTTGTGCCTTAAAGAATAATTTCAGAAATAAAATGTAGCCAGATACCTTGTGGTGTTCTTTTATTTGCTTGGAGTTATTTTTCCCTTTACCCTTCTAGTCTTTTATCAGTGCTTCTAATTTTCTAGGTCTGCAGTAATTGCTATTTATGTAAAGACAAGAAAGTGCAACATCTGATGGTGAATTTGTTCTTATCTGCAGTATCACGCAACCCTTTCCTTACTGCAATTCCTGAATAGTTGTTTTTATCCTGTCAAGAATATTCAGCATCTAGACATTACTTTCCTCCAGAGCCTTTTTTAGTTCTTTTGGGAAAGGTGCAATTCAGCCAAAGAAGAAATCCTCGTGGTGTGGTGCCATGAAAGCTTCTACCTGTTTGCACTCGTTTGGACGCTCAGTGAGTACAAAAGGAGCTGGATTCAGTGTGCTTCCCTCCCCCATCACCTGCCTGCCTAAACCTTGTCAACGATTGCAAATGTTAATAGAGGCTTTCATGATGCTTCTGAGCTGAGAGAAGAAATTGGTGGATGTCCCCTGCCGTCATTGACGTGTTAAAATTGCTTTTTGCAGAACAAAATTGTAACACACCTGGACAACAAAGTAGATGCAAGGGTTGAATTTTGGCGATTTTCGGTTGCATTCCTACCCAATAGAACTAAACAGTAGGTTTAGAGGGGAAAGTTTTTTTTTAATCCACTTCACCATGTAGCAAAGCTGCAGACTATGACATTTTTTCATTTCAGTGCTCTTTCTCAAAACCAGCATGTTGAAATGTGAAGCAAGATTTGAAGAAGTATCAGAGAAGTTAAATCCCCAAGCAGGGCTGATGAAATACACTTAATGATTATGGGTTCTGTAACTGTTCCTTTGTTTAGAACCTCAACAGTGAAAGAAATGGCACTGTAGACCTCTGTCTGGTTTACTGCACTACATGTAGCTGGGAGTGTCACTTCTCTCAGGTGAGTTATGGATATTCTCTGTATGGAAACTTGCATTTAAAAGTTGATTTTGGCAAGCAAAATTTCTGGCTAAATCCAAGTATCCTCAGAGAAGGTTCACACTGTATGAACAATGTGTAACCTTTCCTTTGAACTGCAGTTGTCCCTGTGTTTATGGTGCTATTATCAAAAATTCCTTAAATTTTTCTGTGTTTAAGTAAATGTTTTGTTTGCTTATTTTAAAGAATAATTACTTAAAAATGCATTTAGTCTGTTTGTGGAAATAGACTAAATTTGGGTCCTTATAAAAACAGTTCTGTAATAGACATTAGAACACTTATTTCCAGTTGATGGCTGTCAATTCCTTGGGCAATTTTTTGTTAATGTACCAAAGAGCCTTTGGCTGTATCAGTAGTATAAAATTTTACAGTTTGAAAGTTAAAATAAACATGAGGATACAACCTAGCACTTCATTTATTAAATTGTGATTCCAACCCAAACTACACCTGAGCTTTGTTATAGCTTGAGCTTCCATTTAGATATCCCTTGTTTTAGGTTTGTCTCCTTTGGGATAGGCAGGGGGAGCAAGTCCTGCATTAGAGTATTTTATTTCTTCCAGTGGAATTATTAATAGGTATGATGTGTCATTCCATTTGGAGGTTTTGTGGGCTGCATCATTACACAAAGAAGACTCATACTTATTTACTAAAGATACAGTTCTTCACTGAACTGACTGTAAAATTGGCTTCTGTCTTAACAGATCCATTTCTGGTCTGTATGGCAGCAGTTCTGGGTTTCTGGCAGGATTTTGTGAGACACCCTTGTTGACCAAAGACATTGCAGCTATGGGGAGAAAAACCACTTCCTTGTTTCATCCCAGCAGGGCTGTTAAAGGTCGGATTTCAGTATCTTGAACAAGTACTGGTGGAGAAGTATGTGATAAAGCACAGCTTGACTTTGAGATACCTGGTTTGGTGTGGAGACTTCAAGGGAGCTGGTCCCCAAATCACTGATGCCCAAAGAGAAAAGTATGCCAGTTTTGTGCAGTCACTGTCACTGTGGAGCAGACCTCTGCAGTGAGTTTGCTGACAAACACAAGTAGTGCTTAATTCCTTACCTCATGGCAGTTTTTCCCATGTAGTTTAGTGGCTGATGGTTTTATTATCCTTTACCTCCCCAAAAGATTAAAACTATTGAGAAGCTTTCTGCTAGCAACAATCAACCAGAAACAATTTGTTTCAGTTACAGACTTTATTTGAAAGTATTACTAAAATATTTGGCAACATTCAGTACAGGTGTGTTAATACTGTCCTTCTAGACTAGTCTCCTCATCAATGAAAAGTATCAATCACTGAAGCCTTCCAATAATCCACTTTTAAATACGCTAAAAATTTCTATATGGCTTTTAAGTGAAGTGTTGAGTTCGGTTTCTTCTCTGCACTTAATGCAATTTTTTCCATCTTCAAATAGCTTGGTATAAAGTTGTTGCTGACTATCTGAATTCTGTGATTCTGTGTTTTGCTGCTGTCTCTGGGTGCATGACATTTCAGGAGTACTGCCTTGGACTGAGCTGCCAGTGTTCTAGCAAACACAGAATTGACTACAGCTGCATTTTCCATCTTCATTTACTCACTGGTGTGTTATAGGTTTGAATTGTTTTCTCTGTGTGTGATATAAGGGCATCTAGATGTCCAGGTTGAAAGTAATTTGAGTTAGTTCATCTATTTGGAGAGGAGCCCTGCTGGGGGGGGGGAGTGCTGATGGCAAAATGGTGTGCTGCATTTCTCCTAGTTACAGCTTCACTGGCCTCTTATATTGCAGTATGGCTAAAAAACTACTGGATACAAAAACATAAATGCTAGGAGGGGGCAGACTGCAGGTATGGCATCTGTATTGTATCCAGTGACAGCTTCAGAAAACACAAGGATGCAGCTCTCTCAGTCTGTAATTATCTCCATGCTCTGAGCAGTTTCCCTATGCGTTGGTCTGACATTGCTCCTTGGAATTGTTTGTGCTGCCCCAGCTTTGTTAGATCACTGAGCACAAGCACTGTGACACCCATTCCCAAGGTTTTTAGCACAAGACTGGAAACATTAATGGTGTTCTCCCTGTAAATTTAAGGGGTCTTACCATGCTTCCTTTGAAAACAAAGGCAAAACCCCTCAGTCTTCACTGGGACCACGACTCAGCTCAGTACTAGGATCTGAACATCATTTGTACTGTAACAGAAATAGCCACTTCAGTTCTTCATGCTCTTAGTCTTAAATGTACAGTAAATAAAACCTGATATTATAAAGGGATGGGTCACATTCATTCCTGTTGCCAAGACAGCCATTTTCCAGGATGAGTATTGCATACACTGTACAAAATCAAGCTGTGATTCTGCCTTCTGTATACACGCTTTGAGTATTCTTCTTTTGTCAAAAATATCTATGCAGATATTTTAAATAGAAGCTTGATATATTAAATATATATTTTTTTAATTTGCTGATTTGGGTAGGGGTGGGCATTGTATGAAAACACTGGAGGGAGAAGAGATTAAATGACACTAAGCCAGCCCTGCCATACAAATCTATTCCCTTCCAAACACCTTCTGAGAGGAGAAGGGAAAAATTAAGGAGAGCTAGGAGAAAGCAAATCAATGAATTTTCCTTTTAATCCCTTTTAAGTTAAAAAGGTGTCTTTCTTTGTCATTATGCAGGCTGAGCATTCTTTTCTTCTTTTATATACATATGCCTATATATACATGTATAGATATGTGTGTGTATATATATATATATATACACACACATATATATTTGTACTGCTATCTTAAAATAGGGTGTAGCTGTAAATAAGATAGCTGAGTAGTAGTTGTTCAGAGATTCCTGTTTAGTAATTTATTGGTTATCAAAAGTCAAATGTGCAAAATCCTTTGTTGAAAAATTCCAAATCTGATTTCTTGTTTTGTTTTGCAGCTGGACTTGTAAATGCAAAATAAAAAATGTAAGACTGATTTAATTTCCAGTTTAAACTGGGCAATTGCCAGCTTTCCCCATTTTTGTATGTATTGTAGATTAGTTTGTGTCTGTGTTAACTGTTAGTGGGATTTTGTCTGACAAGCCTGGAATTTATACTTTGAAATAAACCTCCTGAGTTTTTAACATTTTGAGTCATCTGTGCTTAGTTCCTGACACCACAGGAAGTAACTCTCAAAAAAGAGCCCAGATCCTCCTCCTCCTCTTCAGAGGTGTTGCAACCTTGCTCAGCCAACATCAAGCAGCAAGAGTTTGGCTCTTGGTCATTCCCAGGAAGTCAACTGCGCAGCACTGCCCTCACAGAAGCAAAAACCAAAGCAATGCTGTAACTTCTGGAAAGTTGCCTTCCATGCATTTCTGCAAAGTGTGGACAGACAGAATAAAGTGACTTGCACCCCAAAGTTGCCCAAGATGAATGCAGGAATGGAAATCCAGTTGCTGGTGCTGCTCTCCTTGTCCTCCAAAATGCCAGGATCGACCTCTGAAGCAATGGTCATTCTTTCAGCAAGAGGCTTTGGACAAAGTACCAGAGTTTTTCAGAGCACCCTTCAAGCATGAAGGCCCACTCACCTGGCCAGGGAGCAGCTGCTGTGCATCACTCAGGGAAAATGAAATCAGGATTAATAAATTATAAACAAATAATTAACAAAAGCATGTTTCAATGTAGGCATCATGAAGGGCTCTGCCCCCCCCCCACCCAGCTGCTTCAAGGGTAGAAGCCAGGAACAGCACCATGACAGATGTGCAACTCATTAGGGACCAATAAACAGCTGAACTAGAAGGCAGTCTGGGAAAATCTGCCTTTTGGACCCAACTCTGCTGCCAAATTGTAGAGCACTCAAAGTACTTAGAACATGGAGTTACTGACATACTGAACCTGAGTTAGTGCTGAGCCTGTACTTTGAGGGCATGTAATTAATTTGTGAGGCTAATAATTAGTTTCCATGCACTTACTAAAATTTCCTTCAAGTTACTGACCAGAAGATGATGGGATCTTGTGAAATGATGCCTCAGCACGATCCCACTTGAAAGTCCTGAGTTTCTCAAACTGCCTATTTAAACTACAAGTATATGTACTGCACATAGTGCAGAACCTATGTTTTATCATCAAATATAGCATAACTACTCTGCTCAAGTACTCCTTTAATTGCAGTTCCTGCTGAAGTAAAGCAAAACAAGAATGTGAACCTGCAGAACACTCACTGTCTGCTGCAGAGTAGCTCTGGCACACACACATGGTAGGTCTGGAAAGAAGTGCTGCAGCCCCAGATCAAAGTCTGTTTCTGCACACCACTGATGCTTCTACTAAGGAAATTGAAAAAACCCCAGCAGTTCGCTGAGAAGCAAATTTGAGCCAGCAGCACAGCACCAGGACACTGCCAAAGGAGAGCTGCTGGTTGCTCCCTGAAGTACTGCGCAGCCTGGGCTGGGCAGGCACTGGTAAGACCTTGACCAGGTGTCTCCTGCTACAGAGGGAGAATGCTGTGACAGACCGTGGCCCCTGGCACAGCTGAGGCTGTGCAGGGTATGACCACAAGAACCAGAAGGGATAAGTTTGCTACTGAATTTCAGAAAAGGGGATGGTAAAGCATGTGAAAGTTTGTGTTAGATGTGACAATTTTGATAGTCCTGCTGAGAGGAATAATTTCCTCTGTGCATTGACTGAAGAGGATTTTTTTCATTATGGCAAGAGAGATTTATCACTACCACCTCCCACTTCCATCTCCCCACCAACTAAGGCCCTCTTCAGCCAAACCTGGAAACCTGAAGTTAAAAAGTCAGAAACCATAGGCCTTTGAAAAACCTGGAAGCAGGGTATGAAAAAGATGGCAACTTCTGCCACAAATCCTCTGCTTAGAGAATACCTTCTTTTTACTCCAAGTGGCATCTGCTCAAAGAGACCTTTGAACTTCATGTAGCCATCTGTCAGTTCTTTTGCACCTGCCTACAGGGTCATGCAATGCTATCAAAGCCCCCTTGGTCACTGATGCAGCTATGCAGGGAAGAGGAGCTGGACCCAACTGCTGTGGTCAGGACTGGAAAATCAGCCCTGGCTGGCCTGGCAACAAAGAAAGCACAAAGGACAGCACAGCAAGAGGAATGCAGTGGCCTTTAGCAGCACAACCAAAGGCAAAAAAAATAGCCACAGTCACGGATTGGAGTCCTAAGGCTTACAAGATCCCATTAGTGTAAATATTTACTTACAGAAAGGCACTCTCAAAAGAAGATCTCTGATTTCTCAGAACTCTGGGCTGGAGCACAAAACAGGTCATACGTCAGGGTAGGAGGCTCAAGGTGAGAGAAATGCAGAGCTGACATTTCCAGGCATATTGTCATGTCATGGGCACATGACAGGTGCCACACAGCTCCATTTCCTGCTGGTGGAAGCATCTAGCTGTGCCGTGGGTCAAGAACACTGTTCACTGCAGTAATCCATTGGCAACTTCCTGGTCCCTGGGGACCAACTTTGAAACAGTACTTCTCCATTTGTATTTTTATATAAAACTGTGTGAAAAAGCAGTAAATACATCTTGCACTGTTGCTGCATTGTCTAGGAATGACAGTGAAGTCAAGCCATCCTCCAGCCCCTCTGCACTTCCAGTTTCAAACAAGCAGCTGATTCTTGGTCCTCTGCTTGCTGGCAGCTCAGATCCTTGCAGTGCTTTTCGTGACCCAGATCCATTCCTTAAGTGCTGTCCTTAATGCCTGCTGCAGCCTGTTCAATCCAGGTCAATTCAATCCAATGTGTGGCAGTGGCTCCACCACCACATGGAGGAGGTCTCTGCACACAGTACCTCACACCTACCTCCTACCTCAGCAAACAAATCACTTCAGTCCCTTCATAAATTTTTCATTGTCAACAACAGCTTTGCTGTAACTTCTGGTCTCCCTCTTCCCTTGGCAAAAATCACCCTTACTGTGACAGCCAAATATTTAGCTAGAACCTCACCCAGTAACTTGCTCCCTTCCCCATCACACAAGCTAAATGCTAGAGGCTTCATTAAAACCTCACACTACTCATCATTCTTCACCTTCGTAACACAGGGCAGTGCTGTGCACTATTTAGCTTGGACCATCAAGGACATGAGGAAAAAGCTGTTTATTTTGTTTTACTTAATTACACACAGAACATCTAGCACAAAACAGCCTAGTGACTTGACTCCTTGATGTAAACAAGTAGCTAAGAGTAATGTGCACAGCCCTGGCCCTCACACCATCTCACTGTCACACTCCCCTGCCACATCTGAGAGAGCAGGCAAAGATGGCACTGAGCAACTGCATAGGCTGATCCATTCCAAGAGAGAGATCCCTTGCAAGAGATCAATTGCATCACATTTCTGTCCCTGCAGCCAGGGGCATTTCCAAAGCACCAGGCTGCTTCCCTTCACCCTCTTTTGCAGCCTGACATTGCCAGCTTCTCTGACCACACAAAGGAAGTCTTGACAGTGCCACTGAAAGTCACATCCTGTACAGAACAGACAGATCTGCCATGGAGAACACACACTTGATGGGAAGCAACTGGCAGCACACAACTCAGACAAAAGGCAGACATCGAGCCAGCACTGGGGTAAGGCCATCACAGCCCAAAGCAGCCACCTGGTTTGGCCCAGCTCTGGACACAGGTTCCATGTTGCTACTAGAAACAGATCACTCTCACTGGTGGCATTGCTGTTCCCTCCTGCTCTGGGAACAGCTGTGATGATGGCTCAGATCAACATAAAGCTCTGCCACCTGCTTCTCATCAATCCTGCTCAGAGGAAGGGCCACCCAAACAGCTCAGAAAAGAGGAACTCGCTTTGGGCTGCAGTGAAGCAGCCAATATCAGTACAAAGTGCCTAGCAGGCAGGACATGGGAAGGCAGGTATAAGGCACAGGGATGTGGACATCCAGGTTGATTTATTACACAAGAAATAATATTTCCATTAAAAAAAAAATCCACTAGTGGATACTGACGCTGGTTTTACAGGATCGGCCTCATGGTGACAAAATCGAAGTTGTATGACTCAGGCAGGCCCTGGTGCCGCGTGCGGTTGAACCGTGTCCAGCTGAAGACAGGGAGACCGCCCTGCACCGGAGGGCCATTGATGGCAGAGGCTGTGAACGCTGCAGCCAGGCGGAAATCCGACACCTGGAATGAAGGACAGGAACCCAGGGCAAAAGGGCAGCATGAGGCTCGACACATCCCCATGCCAAACAGCAGGAACAGCTCCAGGCGATTTAATAATGAGGTAAGAGAAGAGAGCAGAGGGAAGCACGCACAGGCAGCAATTCCTCCCCTGCGCAGAGGCATCTCCAGTCATGTAGCAGCCAGTGCTGAATTCAGGGCACCAGCAACCCACAAGCTCACACTTGCCCTTGCTAGGATGAAAGAGCCAGAGTATCCGCCTTCAGGACAACCCTCCCCAATGTTATGAGGTTGCAGCAGGCAGATGAGGGGTCTGCCCTAAGGTCTGCTGCATGTTGAGCACTTGGGCCATCCCCTGGGCATGTCAAGGTAATTCAGGAATGGAAAAAGGCAGCACAGATTTAATATTGCTACCCAGGCTCTGTGCTGCTCCTTCATTGTCTCCAAAGAGGTCCCAAGCCTGCTCCATCTTCCCAAGCACAAACAGTAAATTTTTCTGTAGGGTTTATAACTAAAACAGGTGTGCTCTGGGTTATTTCTTTCAATGCCCCCCTTAGGGCCCCATTCCACCTCCAGCCCGGCCCGTTCTCCTTGCCTAACTGTGCTGGCTAAGGCACTACAGCATGTACTGACAACTCCCTTACCAGACCACTCTACAAGGCCATTTTCTGCATTCTTCTTGTATTACCCAGCTCTGGGAGTCTCCCACTACTGTCCACTACAACACACAGCTGGCTGGACACAGCACTGGAGATATCAAAATAGCCTCCCCAGGCCCATCCTAGCAACCAAACTCATAATCAAGAAATGCAGCAGGCTGGATCCCACAGGATAAAACAGTGTACAACTTTTCAGTACAGCTGCTTACTTGGGCATTCCTCTTCACAGTGAAAATATCATATAACCTGCCTAAAATAAATGCTCCAGACAGTGGGTCTAAGGATTTTCCCACAACCCCCTAAAATGCAAAGTGATCTTCACCAAACTTTCAGAAAGCAGTTTTGCAGAGAGGTGGAGCCCCAGAGCAGGGTGGCTTACCAGAGAGCCAGGCTTTTGTAAATGTAAACCTGAAGTGAGACTGCAATCCCTTTCCTGTGGGCTTCTGGGAGGCACCCAGAGAGTCCTAATGAACAGGAGGCTGAGGCTATACAACAGTCTCCTTCCCTGAGTGAGCTGCAGACTCATTTCCTGCTGTAAGGCTTTGGGGTTTAACCCTTTAACACCACAAGCTCTCATGGACATAGTTGTTTCATACACATCCCCCTGTATCCTGTCCCACTGTGCCAGGACTGATGTCAGGGACAGGAAATGAGACTGCAGAGGATTCCCATCTGAGGGGGTACCTGAGCACTGGGACAGCATGAAAAGAGGGAACAGACATACCTGGCCATGCTTGCCCTGGTGCAGGGAAACATGCTACAGGTCTGACAGGAGCACAAACAGACTGCAGCAAACATTCAGCAGATATTGAAATTGAGGTAATTTACCTTGGAGTCATAGCAGCCTGCAGGCACTGGTAAAGAAGGATTCAGGTCTTCCCGGCAGCAAATGGTATTGCAAGGATTGTGCTCAGCATAAGGATCATGCTGATAGTCTGGGGTGAAACGTGGTGGGAAGAGCAGAAGAAAAGAAAGAAAGTTAACCTCCTCACAAAAAGCTGATGCCAAGTACTGGAGCCACTAAGAACTGGGTAACTGCACTCTGTCAGATAGCTTTTGTGCTTCTCCCTTGGTACCAGCTACAGATCAGCACTCAAGACAGGACATAAGTAGACAAGCTCCTAATTCAAGACCATACAGCTACTTCTACATCCCAGGAGCACCACTGCCAACCTCTAACCACAGATATCTGCAATTCCACCTGATGAAATTCCCATGATAAAAGCTTATAGAAACTTTGTCAGGAGAGAAAAGCAGAAGAGAAAGGGAGGTGGCAGGTTGGGGGGTGGAGGGGGAAAGAGAGGGGGAAATGCAGCAATGAGATCCCTTGTTTTCCTGTTCTGGATTAAAATAAGCATAAAGGAGCAAAACCTTTGAACATCCACTGCAGTAGCTGCGAGCCAGGAGAGGAAGGTGGTGAGCTCAGCATCTATGAGCATGCTGCTACTCACAGCCCAGACAGGAATGATACCCCACCCTGGGAGAGGCCTCCCAGACCTCAAGTCCAGCAATCAGCAAGCTCCCTATAATTGGGAATAAAAATATAGCATCTAAACCTATCAGTACTTTGAGATGGGCTTAGCCAGAAGTTAATTAAGCTGGGTTTAATCCAGTTAAGTAGAGCCCTGTCAGGAAAAAACAACACAGCATTACCTACTGTCCTGGTTCAACCCCTGCTGGCAAGTAACTACTACACAACTGCTCATCCACATCCCTCCAAGCCCCACCCCTCATGGGATGGGGAGAAGAATCAGAAAAAGGTAAAAACCATGGGTTGAGATAACAACAATTTCAATAACTGAATTGTTAATAATAAAAAGAAGGGGAGAGAGGGCAAGGAAAAAACTCTTAGAGAAACAAGTGATTCACAATACAATTGCTCACCACCTGCTGACCAATGCAATGCCCATCCCTGAGCAATGATCAGCCCCTTCCAGCCAATTCCCACAGTTTACACAATAAGCATAAGGTTCAATGATATGGAATATCCCTTTGGCCACTTCAGGTCAGCTGTCCTGGCCATGCTCTGCCAGCTTCTTGTGTACCTGCTCACTGGCAGAGCATGGGGAACTGAAAAGTCCTTAACTTATCAACAACTAAAACATCAGAGTTTTAGTAATAACTATCAACATTAACTTAAACTATCAACATTATTGTCATACTAAATCCAAAATACAGTACTGTATTAACCACTAAGAAAATTAACTCTATTCCACCTGCAAAAGTCCATTTGCCTGAACATGGATAAAGACCTTAAGTTTTACACTAAATTCTCTGGTCTGATCATATCTAACTGTTGCTTAGGGTTTAAGGCTTTCAAGATTGCCAGGCTATAGATGTATTAGGTGATAACAGTCCATGAGGTCTCTTGGACTACTCTCTCCTGGAGTCAGAAGCTTTCTGGAAAAGTCAAATAACAAGCCCAAGGGGCCTTGTTCTTGATAGAGCAATTTTAGCCCAGTTTCCACCTTCAAATTAAGCTTGTGTTACCTTTTCTGCTTTGTGTGCATTCTGCATTTAGGAAAATATAACTGAACTCTGTGTGAGGCTGCAGCTTCCCATTATAATCCAAGAAATAAAAGTAACACTGCTTATTAAGATCAGCTCCACAGCATGCAAACATATGTCTTACTGTTGTATCTCATGATGTACTTCATGCTTTCCAAGTTGGTCACCTTGCCCTGGTCTCGACGGAAGATTTTGGCTCTTGGAGCAAGCTCATAGGAGAAATCCATGCCATACTTGACAACGTATGATGCATACCCACTGAGATTGTAAATCTTTTCATGGAAAGGGATATTGTATGAAGGCCAGTAACCTGACAGAGACAAACCCCAATCTGTTAATCACTTGGAAAAGCTGGATGCTCTTGCTTGTATCAGAAAATAAAATAAATAATTTTCTATGTTGCATTGCCATAGCAGCATGTCGAGGAACAACACAGAAAACTGGTTTGAACACAATAAGGCAACAGTCACTGGCATGACCAGGGTTGACTCCCAGTATAACACCACTGCCTACCCAGGCAACCCGCCCCCAGACTACCAGCCTCAGGACTCATCCTGCAAAACAGCTGAGATCAGACTTGCAGGAGCCTGAACATGCAGCGTGGCCACAGACCTCTTGTAGAGATTTCCCTGCTGAACCTTAAAGGACTGCAAATCATTTACCTCTGCCAAACTTCACAGTGAGAGGCCTGAAGTCACTCTGGATTTGACCCCTGCCCATCTCACCAAAGCAGAACAATACACCATGCTGAGATGTCACAGGGGGACTGGCACACACAAACACACAGAGACCACAGGGCTACTCGGGGCCAACAGGAGGCAGGCCAGCACACAGACACTTTGTGCAGTGGGGTTGCACACAGTCATAAAGAAAGATGGGAGATTGCTACACATTTGCCAGGAGCTGCCTTTGAAGGTTAAGCAGTGATTGATCAGCAGAGCAGAGCTTTGCTCTAACTTTTCCAAAAGCATTCCTGCAGGGTTTTTTTTTTTAACTTTGAAGAGCAAAGAATGCCAGGCAGGATTCCAGAGAGGAGTTTCAGGTAGGTGAACTGAAAGAAGTAAAACTGCCTGAAAGAAGACCACCATGGAAAGCTCTTGGAAAGAGCCAGGAGACGTTCCAGGTTAGAATCTGGGTACAGGAAGTCCTAGAATATATAAGAATAGATAACTACACCTTAACATTTAATTTTTTCTAATTTTTAGGCAGTAAGTATATAATATGAGCTAGGCCCAGGAGTAGCATACTTTCAAGTTGTCTCCAAATCACTAACATTCCCTGTTGTTCATTCTCAAATCACACACATCAGGATTTGGTTTAGAGATTTACTATCTGGGCACTGGTAAATGCAGGCCTCCACATATTAAGATCAGCCCAGCACAGTGTGAGGAGTCTGGAAGATGCTCCAGAAAATCAACTGGAACTCACTGGGAGCAATACACACAAATACAAACCAAACTTCCTGAAGGATACACAGACAGCATACACAGTGAAGAACTGTCTGAGTGGAAGCCTCACCAGCTTGGGTCCTGCCTAAGATAGGGAAGACAAAAATACCCTGTCTGCTGGCATTTGCTTATTATTAGTGACCTACAGCCAACCTGAAGGAAACAGGTTGTGTACAGGCTGTATTGTAATACAGGCATCCTCCAGAAATTAACAACCTGCCAGCCTCCTAACGACACAGGCTGGAGGATACAGATATATCAGCTTCCAAACCAGTAAGGTTTAGCTGTGATTCAAAAAGGTGCTATTTGTCTCACATGAAAGCAGTGCCTAAAGATGACTCCTTTCTCCCACCTGGAAAAACTTGTTAAAATTGCTAAAACAGGAAGCTATTAAAGTTCTCCTCCAGCAAGAGCTCTTCTGTGTCTCAGGCTCTGCAAGACTGCAAATCCCATGCAAAGAGTGCAGCAGTCCACCTAAGCCAGGCTTTACCCAAGGGTTGCTATAAGCCAGTGAAACCTGGCAGGGTGCACAGTGACAAAAAAAAAAACAAATCAAGAGAGACTGAAGTTGGAAGGAAGGGATGACATGAAGGCAGCAAAAAATCCCTGCATCAAAATGTTTTCCTCTTCTGCACTTAGAGAGCAAAAGGTATTAGCAATATTGAGAGTGAGAGCAATAAGAATATTGCACATATGGTGGAAGACACTCAGATCCCAGGTTTTGCTCTGATGTGCTGCTTTTGATTACTCATTTGTCATCAAGAAAGATGAACTGCACCTATTCCTGTGACCTATTCCTTCACTTGAGACGGTGTTGCCCTCCCTCACCTCCTCTAAAGGATTTCTGAATTTTCTTTGTCAATATGCAGAAAGCACCGGAACATTTTTGCCTGGAAAGGGCAATGTAAGAGATTCCTGGTATTGAGAACTCATCTGCACTGGCCTACAAAACAACAGAAGCCATAAAGAAAAAAAAATCTTTTCATTTTCAAATTTGCATAAGGAAATGCTTCATTTTTCCTGAGTACAAGGTTTACTACAGCAATACCTGCCTTTGTTCACCTGAGATTTCAATTCTCATCCTCTGCTGTTTCTAGGTTTATGCTTCAAAGAGACTTAAAAAGCCAATGCTGGTGGCAAACTCACTCTGACCAAACTAGTGTGCCCAAAGTGCATTATCTTTTGGTGCACCAGCTACATGGCAATGATGGAGCATGCCAGGGTCAGCTGTGCTGCAAAGACTTTAAGCCAGCATTGCTCTTGAGAAAGACAAGCCTCCTTCACTTGAGCTGCTCCAAGCACCTGGGAACAGGGCAGGGGCCTTTATGGGACTTGTCTGGTGTCCTGCATGGCATGGAGGAATTCAGATCTGCCGCTTACAGCAGCTGAGGTCTCCAAAACTGCACTTTGGCAGAGCTTAGCTCACCCTGTGTGTTGAAGGCTGTCCCTCCTAATGTTTAAACTCCCAGAGACTGAATGCTCTGTTACCCAATATGCACAAGGTACACTTAGATATCTGGGAAAAGGCATACTGTAGGTATGAAGTAATGTGTAACCTCTAATACATGCTGCCACCTTTGAGAACAGAGCAGCTACATCACAGAGGGAAGAAGTGGTCACTCTGTGCCCAAGCCCAGGAGCTGGGCTCAGTCCTACAGAGGATGCCACACCACTGCTCCAGAATCATTGCTGAAAAGGAACTCAAGGTTCCTGACAAGCTTGGGCTCTCTGCACAAGTATAGCACTGCCATGATGGGGCTGCAATGTTTCCAGTCCCAGAGCTTGAGGGTCTCTATCAGCTTCTTTGCATCCTACACACAACACAGCATTGAGAAGCCCAAGGCAAAGGAACCCAAAGGGACTGACAATGCCTGGAATAAACCAGAACTTTCCAAGAAGCTAGACACAAGGAAAAAATTCAAAGAGAATCTACACCAGCTACTAACATAGACAAATTTCCCACCATTTTGATGATGAGTAATTCATCAATTTATCTCCTCAGCATGTGATTAGGAGAAGGAGCACAAAGCTTTAGACATACTTAAGGCTCAGGCTTTTTGTTGATGATGTGTCTAGTAAACACCTGCAAATTAAACCTGATAGTGAGTGTTCTGCTTGACCAAGATTTTTGTTTGTTTTCCATCAAGTTCTGGCTAGTCTTGCTAGGGAATTAAAGAACATTTTAAAAAGCAAATATTTATCAGAAAACAGAGATCCAGAAAAGTTCAGGAGATCAATTTAACACAGAACTTCTTTGGTATTCAAAATTTCATCTTCTTGCAGAGTGACCCACTCAACAATCATTTTGAGTAGCCCATAGCATCACAGTTTAGTACTGCCCCAAACAGATCTCACATTTTCCCTCATTGGTCTCTACAACAAGGCCAAATAATACCTGAAAAAAGGCAAGGATGCAGACAAGCAAGGAGACAAAGTCTATTTTCCCCTCCTCTGCTTCTAGGAGACACAGATGCTTACTGCATTGCTGCCACAGCATACCAGATAAATGAATAGATTGCAACTAATCCAGTGACAGAGGGATGCTCACACAAAGCTGAGGGTTGCTCACACAGGGCTTCCTTACTTTAAACTGAGGACTAGTGTTTAACAAACCTTCCCTGGTACAAAACACAATTCTCAGTTGGCATAAAGAGATGGATTTCCTAAGCCAGTAACTACTATAGGAGTATTACCTTTCCGGAGAACATTTGTTTGATCAGAATACTCCACAAGGGTTGGGATCTGCTCAACAATGTACAATGCACCATCATCAAGGCTCCTCTGCAGCTTGACCTTCTTCAGGTCTAGAACCATGTACTGATTGTTGTAGGTTCCTGGGTATGAGAACAGAGAGAGTTACATGTCCTGCTAAGGGAAAGAAACAAGTACAAGAGGTAAAGGGAACACATCTTTTTTCCTAAGATGCATATGAAGGTGTACTTACCAGAGTTGCACTTTGAGAAGGTCTCTGCCCAAGTTTTGCCATCATTTGCCATCATGTTGGCAATGCGGACCCTCTGCCAAGCTAGCAAAGATTCAGGCACCACTTGTTTAATGAGGGTTTCATTGAAAACACTGTTGGTAGTCTGCAACATTACCAAGCCACTGCCCAGTATGTAAAAGTCATCCAGGGACACCAAAAAGCCTTAAACAGCAATAACACAAAATTTGTTATCTTTGTGAACCTTTGATATACTCATAGAACAAAACAGAGACAAGTCATGAGGATATGGATGAGTCAATGCATGTGTGTGTGAACTCAAACTGTACAAAGATTAAAGATGAGGTAGTAGCTTCTGTAAGGGCTTTGGGCCCACCTGTCAACACAGTTTGAAATGAGAAACTGTCACACTTTCAATTCTTAATTCTTTGTCTAAAGCATTTGCTTTGTTTTTGCATGCCAAGCCTGGAAGATTCTCCATAAGTCAACCTATGTCTTATGCTAAGGATTACATACCCTAAATGCCTGTGAAGTGTTTGTTTCTAACAAGAAAGTGAACTAAAAAAAATATAAAAATTCAACAACGAAAACCAAAGCAAAGTACAAACTCCACAAAAACACTTTCATCAACAAGTATCAGTTTTAGATTTCTACTCTGTAAAGACAACATAAATTAATTTAATTAATTTGAATTAATCCCCTTAATTTACTTCTTCTGTATTAAATCAACCAGAAGAACCTTCCTTCAAGTTTAATCTTTTGCTGTCTAAGGTATCTTAAAAACATCTCCAAGGCACGGGCATCTCTTAAATCATAAACCACATCCCGTATATGAGAAGCTCTACCTACTCCTCTTCCTGACAAGATGTCATGGGATTTTTTTTATGTCTGCCAGCTCTGCAAAGTCAATACAATGATGGATCTGTGGGTAGGATTCCCTTCTAGGTTACATGCCAACAGAAGTGCCAGGTCCAGTTGCAAGCCCTTTGCCAGGAGACGGCATACAGAGCTGCAAAGGTCAGCTATATGCCTTGGATAGTATGGGGACTACTTGTACAGCAGAAATAACTTGGCCTTTAGATTACTCAGCACATACGTGGCTCCCAGGTTGGGGAAGAAAGGCTGTTAACTGAGCTCCTCATGGGGAAGTCATACAGAACCTAAACTCTTGTTATGAAGTTTTTAATAGCATCAGTCTTCAAAGAGTACAAAATGCTAAAATGCTGTGTTACACTGTAGTGTTCGTGCTCCTCTATGAAATCTTCCACAGCTAACTTTATTAACACAATCTGCAAAGGTCACCAGCCTATGACAGCAAGAAAGACAACCCAGCTCTACAACTCTATTCCTGGGCTTTAATCAAAAGGTAGACCACCTTTGAACAAAAGTTATGTTTAAGCGCTCTAGTTCAGCAAAATTTCTTAAAAGAAGCAAGCTCTAAAATTAGAACAGATCCAGAAAAATACACTGTGTGTATTTTAGAGGCATCTGTTATTTAAAAAAATATAAGTATAGAATAAACTGAGCACCCTAGCATCTGGTATTACTCATGGAGAGAGAGGCAATACATTATGTACATTATCAGCACAGATCTCCCTCAAATAACTAAGGACAAGAGAAACATCCTAAACTTGGCTCTGCCAGTCTGTTTTATACAAGGACTTGGGATACTCTAGCAATAATCTGCTGCATAACAATTCAAGTGGTGCTTGCCTAAATACAGGAATAATTGAAATTATTAAAACAATTGTGATGTAAATTGAGCATCAATTCTTGTGGGTGACAATGCCAAGTGTCCTACTTCAAAATAAAGCAAGTAATTTCTCTCTTCAATTTCAATCAACAGCTGAGATAGAACAGAAAAACCTGACTCAAAACAAGTGCTAACACAAGGAATGATGCTAAATTAACTGAAGGTTGAACTCTGTAATTCAAATAAACTGCAAAGCTCAGCTAAGCTGAAAAGAAGGGGATTTCCTTCTGGGCCTTAGTATTTACCAAGTTTTATCCTGCAATGCTTTATAACACAACATGCACTCCATGATACACCATTACTAGCCTAATAATTCCAAGATGGTATATACTATTTTGATTTAAGGCACAGGCAACTTGGAAACAAAGGGAAGCTAAAACACAATCAACAGGTTATCCATGGTAAAGATATCCAGAAGATAAAATCTGGGTAGAGAAGTCTAGAGATACCAGCAGATATTTGATGTCTTTGAGCCATTCTTCTAAGTGTGTATGAGAATCTGTTGTAATTAAAAGTGTTATCTCACTGTATGCTTCTTCTTTGTTTCTCCTGTAAAACCATCTCTGCAAACCCACATCCCATTTTTGTTAGGAACACTCAGTCAAATTTGTTTTGTTTTTGGGTTTTTTTTAACCCCTCCCTCCAATGAACCTGACAACTCTACAGAGAAACAAGCAAAAGTACTTCTGGTTACATTTTCTGGATCTAAGCCATTTAGATTCGGTTCCCAAATGCCATTGGAAAACTGAAGTTTCCAGAATATGGAGTTTCACTCACTGTGATAGTAATCAGCCAAGCAAGGCAAAGCATTTTTTGCAATCTGAGCCACAGTGTTCTCCAGAAAGTCAGCACATCAAAGAGCATGTGGGTGGCAGCACGTTCCTTGCTACTATTGTTCTGAAAGAGGTAGATTGCTGCTTTCTGAACCAGACAGCATCAGCTTTTTTGGTGTTTTAAAAGGTCACGGTGTTCATTCAAGTGCAGAAAGGGTCAGCTTTACAGGCTGGAAGTCAAAGCTATGAGGTCTAGCCCACCTCTCAGAGATGGGAGTAGCTCCTGGCTGAGATGCCAAATGTTCTGGGGTATAAACACATTTGAATATGGGAAAATAAAGGTACTCTCCAGATTAGCAGAGAATCAGCAGCTGCTTCTCATGTCAAGACTAATCACCCATCAGCTGTCTTCCTTCCAATTGCACATCTCTCCTAGGCACTAAGAAACAGCACATACCACACTAGAGCTCTGGTCTCATCTCCAGAGCTCACCAGACAAGTTCCTTTGCTTCCCTCCAGGTTTTAAATAGATTCTGGAGGAAGCAGGGAAGCAGGAAATGGTCTGGTGATATCTCACGAGCAAGATATTCCTGAGAATAAAGGCTACTGCCTCATCCATGGTTTGTTCCTCCCAGCTCTTCCTCAAGCTGTGGGGAAGGATTATGCTGCATTAACACCAGATTACTTCAAAGCAAGGGACACAAACTACCTCTCTCTCCTGCCTCAGAGTGTATAGATACAGATATGACATGTATAGTCATTCATCAAGATAACTTGTGACATCTTACTCCCACATCACCACCTAGCTCAACCAAGAAAGATCCCAATAACAGACCAGAGGAAGAAAGGTAGAAGTAAAATTCTTCAACTGTTCTTCTTCAGCTGTTTTGTTTAAGCTGCTAAAATCAAATTAACATTCTTTAAAACACCATGGCTCAGCACAGAGAAGGTATTTCACTATCCAAACCAGAGTGCTTAGTCAAAATGGCACATTCCTGTTCTTAAATGGAGTTCAAAAGAGCTCCATCCAAATGGATGAAAATCCTGGAAGCTGCAACCTCCCTGCTATCCAAAGAAAATCATAAATTTTATCAGTTAGTTTGGCTCATTTCTTTGAATGCCTCAATGGGCAGCGTAAAAAATTGAGGTGGGGAAGGAAAGGGGCACAAAGGGAGGAGAGGTGCAGGTTCCTGTCTGATCCACCACTAGATATGTGGCACAAAACATAGAACCTACCTTGTCTCTATCATCACTTCTTTACTCCCTCAAATGAACACAACTTCATTCAGCATTTGTGAGGAACAGTAACATTCTCTGTACAATTTCATTTCTCTCTGCTATGCATTGATTCACAAGCCACATGAAGTACTCATCTCCAGAGCTTGAAGACGACAGTGAAGCTCAAGCTTTCAGTTCAGAGACATTCCTCCTTTCCAAAGGTTTACAGAACAGTTCTATGTGCAGCTCTGCAGATGAAGACTTTGAGCAGAGTCCAAGTGAGAATTAAGGTGAGATAGTGTTGAAATGAGCAGCAAGTAAAGAAATCATTCTCCAAAAACAGATTACAACTCCCATATATTTGCACTTGACTGTGCCTCTGCAGGACTACTGCTGCTCTGAAGGGGAGAAAGCAGCAGAGAAGATACCCTGCTAACAATGGACATTTTAACTTGGTGGCAGAACACTGATAACTGCTGGGGAAGCTAGGATGGACTCTGTAATTCCTGCCTCTCCTCCCACCTGCTCACTCACTACATGAGCAAAGAAGTGCAAGGCCCTCCAGCTGTACCAAATGCACACTCTAACACAAATCAGGGTTAGTCAACAGCCTCAGAACCTCTAAACTGAGTCACAGCAAATACTAATTTTTGCAATCTAGTAGCCTGTCTTTTGAAATTCAGTAAATAAAGAAATAATAGGGATCATTTTACTCTGTGACCCCAGGAGAAAACATGGATTTGGCACATTCCTTCTCAGAAGACAAATGACCCCTTAACATTTTCTGACACACCTTTTAGACAGCAGCATAACTTTATTTTATATCAAATCTTACTGGATGACAACAATCTTTGAATAACTCAGCTAAATGTCATTGAAGGCCTAGAAGATCACCTGTCTTTAAATGCTCTCTGTTTCCTCCAGCAGTTAATAGTTCTATGTCCACAGGATTATGTTACTACTCAGGAGAGACTACTAGGTTGGTCTTTCTTACTGGTTCTTATGTCTATCAGGACAGAGACTAAAAGCAGGAACATTTATGCAGAGAGATATTACCTGACAATTGTCAGGTTGAACCATGGCCAGGAGCTGCAGATTCCAGAGTCAGATGCTCTGAAAATATCTCCCATCATAACACAGAGCAGAGGAATTTGGCAGTTGCATCCTTCCTACGTGATGTCCCTGGAGCATTACTAGGCCAGTGCTTACTCATGCCATGGAAAACTGCAAGTCTGTGAACTACACCCACAACTAATGCAATTTGCTGCAGTCAATGGACCATGCTTGTCTAGTGCTTGTGATTAGCAACCTGTAATCAGGCAGCCAGTGAGCACCCTTTGCATACCACAGACCTCTCAAACTTCACTGCAGCCATGGGAACTATGCTTTGCAACAGTTCTCACTCAGTTTTGTTCATAGAAGTACACCTTCCCACATCACTATGTCAGAGTCCACACATGACAATAGGAGGCTTTAAAATAAGCCTTCTCTACAGACCTCAGCACTCTCAGGGAAGCACACTGGGATTTTGTACACAAATGAACAGACCCCAACCATTTCAGCAAAGCAGTATCTGATTTTCAGGTAACCTGCCACACACTATGCTTTATCAGTCTCATAAAAACAGAATATTTTTATTTCCTTATACAAAGAAACCACAAAAGGAACAACTGAAAGACATCACCACAGACACCCACTAAAAATAAAATAATAAATGCTCTGTGTGGGTGATCTTGATCCCCAGTTTTGAATCTGCAGCACAGTGCAGCATACAACAGTTGCTAAACAGAACCACACTCGTGTTAAGAGTAGTGCTATCATCAATATTTCAGCTGAGAGATATGAAAGCCAGAATAACCTCATGAACATTCATGTGATGAACATAGCTCAGAAACCTTTGCTTTCTGACAAAATTACACAGGCTTGGCAAAATTCCTTGCAACAAGCAAGTGAAATTCCTCCAAGGCAATCACAGATAACCCAAGCTCTTGAAAGGCTGTACACTTAAGAGACATTCAGACTACCTCTACCCCTTCCTCAAATTAAAAATCTCAGTTGTCAGAAAATACTGCATTCCTGAGAAGGGTCACTGAGGAGGGTCAGACCCCACAGAAAAAGGCTTGTTTTCAATGTGAAATGAATGCAACTGCTTTTCAAAACATTCTGCCAGTCACAGTCTCAGGAACCCTTGCCCTTACAGTAAGGCACCATTACTCAACAAAGCACATTTTGAAATCATCAGCCATCAAAATATAATGAGAATGAAATGGTCTCCTAAGGTACATAGTTAATTTAAAATGTTTTATGAAGATTCTTGACTGTTTAGGTATTTTTAAACTTGAAATTTCATCTCTAAAAACTTATGCAGTGTCAGCTCTAAGAGGGAGTTACAGATTTGCTTTGGTTTTTCACATTCCCATTTCTTGGTGCTATTCCATACCAAGAGCACATACTCAAACATTACTTGCTGGCAATTTCTAACATTTGGCCTCATCTTCCCCTCTCAATAAGAGACTCTCAATATTTTGGCTGGCTATATTACTAACACACCAAATAAGCATTAAAACATACTCCCCTCTGCAACAGCTTATAGAGAAGCTGGAAAAGGAAGATGTGGGGGAAAAGGAAAAAAAAAAAAACCAAAAACAACAAAACAACTGAAGGCTCCTGAGCCTAACATGAAAGAAGCTGATTCAAACAGCAAATGTCTGATACTCAGTAATAATCCCATTTCAGCACCAGTCATGTCACAGCAGTAAACAGAAGCACTCAAAATTGTTGTTACCAAACATGCGAATGCTATAGGCATCATAAGGAGTTCAGCACTTGAGATGACTGCAGACTACACACACACAATTCAAAGCAGCATGTTTGTGCCAGAGGTAAAATATTTAACCAGTACTATTCAGAGCACAGAAGGTGATCAATCAACAACAAAAAACAATGACAACAATATCATGTTCAAGACAGAAAATTCAAGCTGGCATTTTGTCCTCTTGGTGGCTTAAGTTCTAAGGTAGATGGAAGCCAGTGCTTGTTGAGTTACCATCCTTTTCACAGCCACGACAGCTACAAGACAGTAAGGTGGTCCATGCCAAATTCAATATCTACATAGTTTTGGTTTTCTTGACTTTACCTGGGTAACTACTGAATGAGACACGGCTGGTGCTGGTGTATGGATCAACTATATTGAAGTTCCAATGCTTATATATTCTCAGTGTGGCTGCATAAGTAAACCAGCTGGAATGAGCAAAGTATATATTCTCATATCCAGGTAGAACCTGGAAAACAGAAGCAGAAAGATTAATAATTTCAGACCCCATGATATTCTGCATGTTTTCTACTTGATAGAAACTGGGAAAACTACTTGTTTTAAGTAGTTTGATTAATTGCATTGTTGAAGAAAGAACAGATTCTTGTGCTTTTAGCTGTGTACTAAATAAATTTCTGAAACCTCTAGAAACAATTCTTGCCTATGTGTTTTCAAAATAAAAGGTTGTGGGGTTATCTGGGATACCTGCATCACATGGTATAGGTTTTCCCCCAGTTTCATTTGGAATATTTCTATTCACACATTCAAATCAGACCTTTTCAAACATATCCAACATCAATTTAAAACATGCTGTTTCTGTGAGAATTCCTCTGGTTCATTTTGAAGTGAAGTACAGGTGCAAATGCAAGTAAATTTAACTTGAAAAGGTAAATATATATATATTGATGGTACATCTCTTCAAAATATTTCCCTGGTTCTACAATTTTCTAGTTGTTGTTAACTCAGAAACTTCCTACTAGAGGCAAATGGTTCAGTTAATGTTTCTTAATTTAAGGTGAATATTATTGCTCTGCGATACATTGAGTCTCCAGATGCTGATTAAATCTCCTGAATAATTTTAACTGAAAAATGTAATTGCCACCATGATGCATCAGTTAATTATTTTAAAACTGTAGGGTTTTTTTCTGTCATCACTCCTACTGGAAAGCCATTCAAAGATATCACTATTAACAGAAAACATCAGCCACTTGCATCCATTTGTTTTTATGCTATCACTGTCCTTTAGTTTAAATAATCCTTTTCCTTTTTTTCCTGCCTATTTGCCCAATGTATTTGTAGTCACTCACAACACCCCTTTTCTGACTTCACTTCTCTAGGTGAATGAGTTATTCTCATCCAGTCTCCTCTCCCTGGTAGTTCCTCATTCCCTAGTAGTTCTAGCAGCTTTTCAACATCCATCTCTGTGGGTTTGGTTTGGTCTTTTCTCTCCCCTTGGAAACAAATGAGAAATACTGGACTTAAAACCCTATAGGGGCACTAATGACAACTGCATATAACCATCTTGATCATTGACAGAAGTCTCTTTATGCACATGCAACATTAACAGGGAGGACTCCAGAAATGCAGACTCATGACACTGCAGATCAACACAGTCACTGGAGATTAAGTTCTGGTGCTCACTTTGATCAATGCAGAGCAGTGTCCCATGTCCCACTGGTATTTTCCATGGCCTCCTGAATCCACATTGCATTGTCCACCCCGTGCAGAATAATCAAATAATGCAGGAATAAGGTCCAACAGGTCTCCAACTGCATTCAGAAACTGGACATCAAAGTTGCTCAGTGGCTGAATAAAGAAGAAGATGACAAAAAACACTTTGAGTGGTTAGAATTTTTCTTTTGCTCCAGAAGGAAGTTCTTGTATGGTCTATGAAATGCCTACTGACAAGGCCCAGATGCTCACACTCAGTACAGCACCAGGCACTGAGGAAACTTCCAGGATCTGGCCCTTGTAGTGGCATTACCAATGCTATGAATTCTAAGGCAAAATGGAAGATGTAACTGTAACTCAAGAAACCTTAGTGTGTGTTTGCAAGCAGCATGTCAATCAGTCTGTTGTTACAGATTTACTGAGATAAAATTTAATTTTTTTGTTTATCTAGATGTCTTTGAAGCATCTTCCACTAATGGTCTTGGGAGCTCTCCGATTTTTATAGAAACTGCAATTTAAGACATCCTCAGGACTTAGGAGGATGAAACAAATGTGGGAAAAAATGTTAATAAATACCAATCAAACTAGCTGAATAGGGAAAGTCAGTCAAAAGGCACTCTGCTATGTGCTTTAGAAAACTCCTTGTGGTTGGAGCTAGCCAAGGTTAACTACACACAGCTGGTTGTGCAACATGCTCTTTAGAACCTCTTCTTACTTTGCTTCTTCAAAAATAACAGCTTAATAGTGGTTTAACCTCAACCTTCAAATACCGTTTTCTAAATCTTTCCTGTTCTTGCTTTCACCATGCCTTTTGTTAGGCAAGGCTTAAAAAAAAGAAGTCAGAACACACATCACTGTGGTGGTGTGAATAGTAATTTTATAATGCCACATAATCATACAGCAAAGAAACACATTACTTGCAATATAAATCACCGTTACTATACCATACAGCTGACCTCTCCACAAACCCCAATAAAGAGGGACAAGGAAAAATGAAACAGCATCAAATCCATTTAGGTTTTATTCAGAATATAAGTATTCTGAATACTTTGCATTGAATATAATATATTCAATATAAAACATTGAATTCTGAATTCTGTGTTATCCATTTACTGCTTTGTCTAAAAGAATAACCAACAGGAAAACCAGAAATCGTGTGAACTCCAATCCATGTATCCCATAGGAAGGAATCAGACCTTCCCACAATGCTTACACACAAAACAAATAAGCCACTCTGACTATTAAAACCATTCATGGCAGAAGGCTCTAACAGCAGCTATTGCATGAGGGAGAAATCCAAACCAAACTTTCATGTACATTACACTGCTTTAGCTCATCATGTTTTTGCTGTAAGGATCCAAATAGGGAGCACCATCAAGAGATGTGTCTTTAGATAGTTTTAAGCAATTCAGAGGTATGAATCAGTTACAAACCCGTCAAAACTTCTATTTCATTTGAATCCATATAGAGACTTGGCACTGTTTAAGCTCCATTTTCCCCTATCTAGCTGCACTGAAAACCCACCACACAATAAGAAAAAACCATTTTCCAATGTCTGATTCACACAAGCATCACTGTGCAGTACCACCAGCAAGGGAGCAAACTGGTTTGCATGAGATTGCTCCAGCAATCAAGATATTTTAATTGTACTTGACATCCATTTGCTACCACTCCAAATTCACCTTCATAAAACCTGCTTTCACTGTAATATTTGTAGCTACATATTGCTACAGCAAACTGCCTGTGTATTTTTAAAATGTTTCACATTTCTCTTCTTTTTCACCATCACTCCAAATCAAAACTTCTGTAACTATTAGGAAGTCCATTCAAATTAAAACAAAAGTGCCAAGCAATGAAGCTTTCAGAACAATAGGCACAGAAAGGTGCCCAGACAGGAGGAAAGACCTACTCAAAGCACAGGTTAATGCAAATTCCTAAGGTACTGGGTGAGATTAAGCTGCCAACTGCCAAAGCCAACCAAAATATCAGCGATGTTAAAGAGGGACTAAGTTGTTAAGTACTCCCTAGAGTTCTGTCTTCATCTCCCTTTTGAGAGCCAAGGAAATTTTGTTCCAGTTAATTTCCAAAAATTCATTACTCTGCTTGAATAAACTTAATTTTGTGTTTAAGATCTGATGTGACATCATATAACCACTGTGCTTCTCTGGAAACAATGCTTCTCATTAAAACAATGTATTCAAACAGAAGATACAGGAATCTGCACTGCAGGCCCAATCTGGGAATTTCAGGAGTGGTTTGAAGCATCTGCTACAAGACAGCTGAGAGCCCCAGGATACATGGAGAAATCTTCTGATTTCCAGGATACATGGAGAAATCTTCTCTATGAGGAGTTACTCAGTGTCCACTAGCAAGAATTAGACCCAAAAATCTGCATCATAACAAGTGTGTGATATAGGGCATATGACAATTTTTTTGTAATTACCTTTTCCCATCTCACACAGCAATGTCAGAAAAACTCCTTATATATATCATTTAGATCCTGAAGAAGAAAGAATGAACTAAACTGACAAGCAGAGGTGGATAAAGCCACATCAAAAGTCCTTTTGCTAGAATGTGTGGCTCCTCTAGGGTGCTGTTCTGAACAGCAAAACAAAAATCAGTTTGAGTTCAAGTTACATCCAATATTTAGGAGAAATTAAATTACAAAACTCAGCAGAAAGGAGAGAACTAGCCCTAAAGGCTTGTTTACATGGGACATTAAAATAGGCAAGTTATTCTATAACAATTGTTTTCCAATAACTTCTCCAAGCCTGAGCACTCTGAGTACAAAATAAGGAAGCAGAAATAGAGAGCTACCCTGGAGTCATTCTAGTATTTAAAACTCTGACACCTCCTTATTCAAGAGTAGTATCCCTGCATAGACAAGCCCAAGATGAATCACAGTGTTAGAAAAGCATTAGGAGATGAAAAGGCTTTATGTTCTTTGAGTGTCCCTCCCTCAGAAATTGTCTTGACAAAAGGGTTGGGTTTGTTTACTGGATATAAAATGCTGCTATACCAGATAGAATAATGTCACATTTTAACATAAAGATGTATTCAAATTTTGACATCATTCTTAATGGTACCTGTAAATATCAAACTCAAAATACAGAAGTTTACAATGTACATTGCCTTCAGGTAGGTCTGAATGGAAGCACCTACCTAAAATAGTCCTCAGGAAGACCAACTCCATGCAATAAAAACCCCAAGTTTAGAACAATGCAATACTAAGCATTTCCTTCAGAAAGAATAAAAAAAATATATACTAGTGCTACTATCATCAAACCATTCAAAGCATAAATTTTTTTATGCAGTAAGGCTCAGTTACTTGTGGCAAGCACAGTGGTTCTACAATATTCAAGTAAAGCAATCTGAAATTTAGGGGAGAGCAGTAAACCAGAACATTTCAGAGTTATCTGTGTGCATATAACCCAACTCTTACTTAATAAGTATCTGGCTCTGGTTTCAAACTACCATGCATAGTCCCAGAAAACAGAATTAAAAAATTAAAAGCAGATTAGGTATGAAACAGCTTGTTTTCATTCTCCTGAAAAGAAAACAGTTCTAGCCAACTTTGCCCAGTGCTCAGTGTTACAATTCACAGACTTTGTAAACACAGTTCCTTTTCTTCATCCCCTTTATCTCTTATTGCCGATTCATGTCAACCAAACAACTTCTCAGTGCTCAGGAGAGCAACTTGTCTATATACAATCATTCATGGTGCAGGGAAACATAAGAACCTTGAAAATTATCTCCTGTTCCCCTTCTCTTTCTCCTGTCTCTAGTATTTTGTGAGTTAAGGGGGAAAGCTTCCTAGCCTTTCTTCTACAGCATTTACTCTTATGTTAAGCTTAAGACAGTGGGAACAATTGTCCTCTACATATACAGAATAATATGTTGAATTTAGAAGTACACATAGCTTTCCCAACAGCAAGTAGAACGTCAGAACATCAGGCAACAAAATTCAGACTGTCACATGTTGAGTTTTGGCTTGGTTTTGTTTAGGGTTTAGAGGGTTTCTTTTGTTTTGTTTGAGTATGAGTAAAAAAAAGGAAAAGAAAAATGTCCCAAATCACACAAGAGGTATTTTTAGTATTTCTGATGTTCATTACCACCATTAATTCAAACTATTGAACTACTAGAGATCAAAAGATAAACTTGTACCTGATTATGATAATCCAAAGACTATAAACACATGGAAAAGATTATTTTATTAATGAAACTAAATAGTATCTACTAAAGGAAAGAGGTAAGAAGAGACTTTCAAAGCACTGAGGAGAACACAATAGGAATGAGATTTGCTTTTAAAAACATGCAGAACTTGCTATAGAGACTTTCGGTATGAAATTTCTTTGTTATGTTTTACTTTCTCTGAGAACTGAGTAACAGAAAAGTACTTGTTACTGGAGTTGTTGCCAAAAAAAAAAAAATCAAAACAATTTGGTTAATTGAATCAAAGTACAACACTTAAAAATAATTTTAAAAATCATCTATTAGGTAAATTTATTTGCACTTTGGATGGTAGATTTCTTTAATCACAAGGAATAAAGAAGATATTCGTGGTGGTTTTTGCTCATTTGGTTGGTTTGTGAGTTTAGTTGGGGCTTTTAAGTGCCAACAGCTTACAGAAGCTGAATTGATTCTCAGATAAATGGATGTGTCAAAGCTGGAATACTAGCTAGAACAGCTGCACCTGTTTTTATTGCCCATGTAAGATCACAGCAACAGACTTCAAGCTCTGTTTCCTGAAGGAGATCCTAACAGCAATAAATAAATACACACCGTGGTAGCCTAATCTCTCAAAAGTACTTGAAAAGTATCATGATATCCAACAAAATGAACTTCCTGTACTTTCACAGAACGTCAGCTATCATTTTGATGCCAAGAAAAACCAAGGACCTAGCTGCAAGAGCAGCTGTCCAAAACATACTCAAAGATAAGGACTGATGTTCACTTAGTGGCTGTGGCAAAGAGAGGGAAAAGCAGCACCATTTCAAGTAAGGAATACATACACAGTGAACATTTTTGCTTTGAATAAAAGTATATGCATCTCAACATAGGTGATAATGTCCAAAGCTAAAATTGTGCCTGGCATGGAAAAGAGTCAATATAAATCCCACCAACTGCTGCAAGCACATTTGGGAAAAGAAAAAAAATATGTAATGCATATAATTCAAGAATAGAGGACACAAATATTTCAGCCTGAACTACACATCTGAACTTTCACCAAATGCATCATTTTTATATACACATGCTAGTGAGATCTCTAAAAAGAGGATAAAAATTATCCAAACACTTCAAAGATCAGTGCTTTTTAGTATCAAATGCATAGTTGAATAAGCAAGCACCAGGGAACACACTTTGCACGCAGGACATGCCTATTACAAAAAAGTAACTCAGACACAAACCAGCACTCTTCCCTTCCCCCTACATGAATCTAAAAAATTCTGAAGCAGCAAAAAAAAAA